TTTCCTTGTGGCCCTCCAGGGGCCTCTGAGGAAAACTGGTATTTTCACGAATAACTCATGTGGTTTGTTACCTCAGAGATTTTCAATAAAAGATAGTATGTAGCCATTGTTTTCTATAGGTATTAAGAAATAAAACTCATCCAGAATGCTTATAGCAGAGATCTCTTTGAAAATTAGCCCATGGTTTGGGCATGAAGGTCAGTGTTAGAATTTGCTTAGCTCACCTTTAATTCCAGCACTCGGGAGACAGAGGCCGGTGGATCTCTGTGTGTTTGAGACCAGCCTAGTCTACAAGAGCTAGTTCCAGGACAGCCTCCAAAGCCACAGAGAAACCCTGTCTAAAAAGAATTTGCCTAGCATGTGCAAGGGCCTAGGTTCTACTCAGCACTGCAGAAACAAACCGGTCTACTCTGAGGATTGTGTTCCGTGGAATCCCTTTAATTGGACAACTTTTACATTAGTGTCAAATTTTTGAAGGCAGAATTTTAGGGATAAGTTGTGTTGTGCTCAAGCTGGTCTATTTGCCGTCTCACTTCCCCTGAAATCTGTAATTTCCTCTTGTAACATACAACAGATAATGGCAGTTTTTTATTAGAGCAGTTAAGGTTTACAGAATGGATTCTTCACTAGTTGGCCAGTTGAACATATTAATAAACAGCTGTCATTTAAAATGAGAGGGCAAATAGACCACTGTTAATCTGGAATCTGGGGCTACTAAAACTCTTTGATGTCACACAGCTCATTAGTGTTGAATAGCGTTAGATTCTGTGTGGAGGGAAGCCTGGTAAGGGTAACCCTGAGTTGGGAACTCTTCAGGGACAGGCCTGCTGGTACCATCTGTCTGACATCTCTGTTTCTGTTACCTTGGCTCTATTTCTGAGCTTGTGATGAGAACACAAGCTCTGTTGTTTTCCTTGTTACCTAAGACCTAAGGTTCCTCAGCAGCAAACCTTATCAGCAAAGACCACAAAGGGCTGGTTTGTCACATATATAATTTCCCCTCCCCCTATGGTAGACACCAGTGGCTTGATGTACACCTGGATCTGTTAAAGGTGGACAAAGGCCAAAGTGGGCAGAAGAGCTACTCTTAGAGAATTGGGCACCATACAGATTGTCCTACCTTGAACCACTCAGCAACTACTTCATTGCCTTCTGGAGCTCCACCCCTCTAATCGTTTACAATAACCTTGGTTTTAAATGCCCAATAGTGAAATGTTCATTTGTCCTACACCTCCCTCTCTTCCTTCTCTGTTTTAGAAATAAATCATCACTCAAAGGCTAATTTATAGATGCCTAGCTGGATATTTGTCTCATTCTATGATCCTCCTAGCTGACCAATGAAGGATTGGAAATTATGTCGGGATGTTCTCTTTGGCCATCCTGAATTAGGCTCCTACTGGGAGATACCAAAAATAGTTGTTCATCTTAAGCTGAATTTTTCTTAATATTATACTGCTGGAGATTTCCTGAATGATGCAGCTAAATATTGTTTCCATGAGCCAAATGCTGCAGGCCTTTGCAGAGCTGTTTTCTCGTATATTACCTCGCTAATAGTATTGCTTGCTTTGATTTTAGTTTGTTCTCTAATGGCTCAGTAAGTGTATATTGTGAATATGCACGCGCACGTCTTTCCTAAGAATGGGGGTGGTGTAGAAATGTCAACTGTTTTGTACAGTAGAGAGTGTTCATTCATTGTCTTGAGTGCCTATTATTAAAGGTGTCAGTTTGTGGTCAAACCACTTTTTCCATCATGATTAATGGTTAAAATGGTGGTGCTGTGCTAATCTGTAAACTGAAAACTTGGTCAGGGTACCTATGGGAGGAGTCAGTGAGACCATCATGAAAGAAGTAAATGAACTGAGTCTAGTAGACTGTATTCTGTTATTTTACATTTTAAATCAACTCAAGAAATTATTTGCATTTCATATTGAAGGAGATTTGAAAAATAAGTTTGCCAAATACAAACATATCTTTTGAAATCACAGTTTTACTTTTAACAATATAGCCTTCAGTAGAGAGTGTGTATCTTGTCCTCATTTCAGTCTATTCTCAGCAAACGTGAGTATGTTTTTAGTGTCAGTTTTTATTTTTTATTAGAACTTCATTTTAAAAATAACAGTCAAAGCAACTTTGTGAATGAATACTTTTCTTTCTTTACGCAATTTTCACCATTTTACAACTCCAAGAATTGTGTAACCCCTCATTTAAATTACAACCAGGTGGTTTTTCTTCACCTTGTTCTCTTTTTATACGTCCTAGTTAATATTTCACAGCAGCCCATTTAAAGATGTCCCTCAGAAGTTGAGCGGCTTCTATGGAGTCATCAGGGAAGTGCTTATTTGATCTTACTTACTATTTAGAATGTTACTACTCACTTACCCGTTCATGGTGCATAGAAACACAGATAGTAGCTTTCATCAACGGCGTACGTTATCTGAGGTTCCAAACTGATTAAAAATGTCACTTAAGGAACAGTGGGGCTTTGACAGGGATGTCTTGTTCACTGTTAATCTTTAGTGACTGATTAGTCTAAAATATGAAGTTAATTTTGTCTGTTGTGATCGCCTGAAAGCCTGGTTATCAGCCTAGCAATTGGGTAGAGGCTCATCCATTTACACTCCCTGCACACACATTGGGACAATACTGAGCCATATTGGGTGGGGCTTTGGGTTTAGATTGATGGATGCTTCAATGAAGATTGACTGGGAGCTGGGTTATGCATTTTTCTTCAGAGGGGACATTCTTGGCCCATGCATGCCTGTGATACTAAAGGAAATCTTCTGTGTCTCATCTCTTTAGCAGGAGGAGCAATCTCAGAACTGCTATGAAGACGGTGAAACACTTCGTTCTTCTCACTTTGTCGTCAGGTAGCCTTTGGACAGTGTGGCCAGTCATTTGAGATTGGCTTTAATTGAAAACAAAGGCCTCTACCTCCCACCCAGGAGGTGGAAGGAGTGGATTTTATGTTTGAAGGAAGAAGTGAATTATGGAAGAAGAGCGCAGGTCCCTGCCTTCCCTTTCAAGCATAAGTCCAAATAGGCTCTCAGGAATGAGGATGCGTGAAGACGTCAGGAGATCTGACTCGCTTCAACTTCACACTTGGTTGTGTTGCTGGTGAAAAATGCCCAGGTTTTGTTCACCTAACTGTTGAAGTCACATCCTTTGGACATGTATTTCCCATCTCCTGTTGCCTTCCATCCTCAGTGCATGTCCTTGAGTGACTTGTTCTTTTCTGAAATTTTGCTACCAGTATCCTCGGAAAACCAATGCATTTTCTGTTTCTTTCATTCATAACTTCCTCTCCCAGTGCTTCCTGTGTTTCTATATTGTGTATAAAGGTTGGACAGAGAAGCGAGTGCTTGAAAGATTTCAAATTGGCGAAAAGGAAGGAAGATAGAAGGGGCCTGTCATTCTGTCTTACCACCTTTTGCTCAGGAGGCTGGATGGGCTCCAGAGAATCTGGGGTTTCCCTTGCATTGCATGTTTTCCAGTATCAGGTCTGTTTGAATAATCATGGTTTTATCCATCTCCAGCTAAGAATCATCAACAGTTTGTGTATTACAGCAAGGTGTATTTCTCCACAAGCTTCTGTATCATGGGGTTGGGGCACCTGTGCGAGGACTGACGTGAAACCCCCAAAATCAAAGCAGCAGTAGCTCGCTTTAAATCAAAGATCAGGTTCATTTGTTAAATCATTGCCTGTGGAGAACTTGTCCCCACCAGCCACAGTGTGTCTCTTCCTAGAGCCAGGCCCCCTGTGTTTTCACTCACTTCCTTTCTGTGAAAGGTTGCTTAGCTTTTTTTACCCTTCTCTTTCTCACCCTGGCTTTCTCTGCATTTGCTGTTCTTTTAATAAAAATAGCAAATTGGATGGATGTGTACAATAAGTGTTTGAAATTTTCTGAAAATCCAAAGTCCAGAAGCCAAGTGTAGAAAGAGTTAGTTAGTAATGTCTCTGGCAATAGCTTTTGGCTTGCCCCGGGGTCATACTTTCTCTGCATTGAAAGGGGGGTTAAATACTATGCTAATTGTGAAATCTCTATCAGTTGGTGGAGGCTCCTTCAGATAGCCAAACCCATTGATTACTTTATATTGTGGGGTAGAAGTGACCGTGGACACTGCAGGAAGTCTCCAGAATCGTGGCTGGTGCTGCTTCCTCAAGTGTGTGTGAGACCAATGGTTGTGATTGGTAAGTGGCTCACAGGACACATTTTTATTTGTAGATACTATATCCATGTCATATCTCTCTGTACAGCGTCCTGCAGTAGTGTGCAAACTGATACAAGGGTTCTACCTTTCCTGTGTGGAGTGACTTGATTTCCTCCATCTGGATGCTAATGCTGTGTCCATTTCCATTAACTGGCTACTGAGAAAATCAGCCCAGGCCCTGCCAGACTGTCTGTGGCAGTAGTTCCTAATAATTATTTATGCTTTTGGAATTTTTCGTAAGCTTCTAAAACCTTCCATCCACTTTCAGCCAGGATTTTTTGATTTGTATAATATATGTATATTCTCCTCTTCCTTTTTGTTGTCTTCCCTGACTCTCTATTTGTTTCTTAAAATGTTCTGTAGTTTTGTACAAGATGAGACTTAGCCTTGGGTACTTCTTGCTAAAGCTTTAATGCTTTGTAAATAAAACGGGATGTTTATTAATCCACAGGTATAGGTGTTTGTTTGTAAACTGTCTGCTTCTGGGACTCAGCAGCCACTTGGTTTTTATACAATAGAAGATAAGTCATTTGGTCATCTGGTCATTTGGATCTGAAAAGGTCAGGCAGTTTGGATTTCTTCCTTTGTACAAACTAGAAATAAATGACTTGAGCTAAAAGTTGGTGTTAATAAAAAAAAGGAACAAAGGTCATCTAGGAATCTCCATATTCTTTAACTCAATATAAGCTTTGAAGAGGCCACAGTGCTAGGCATTCTGGGAGGTTACAGTAATGCATCCCAGAGGTTCCAACCTTCCAAGGATCTCTGTTAGTCTAAATATTTTCTTCCTTGTTAGTCATTTTCTCTGATTAATAACTTTAACATCCATACTGAATATTCATTGTCTCATAAAGAATAAGGTGTCTCAGAGACGGTAGTGCAGTGGTTCTCGACCTTCCTATTGCTTTGACCCCTTTAATACAGTTCCTCATGTGATGGTGATCCCCCCAACCATAAAATTATTTTTGTTGCTCCTTCATAACTGTAATTTCACTACTGTTATGAATCGTAATGTAAATATCTGATATTCAGTATATCTGAAATGTGACCCAGTGAAAGGGTCATTTGAGACCCTCAAAGGGGTTGTGACCCACAGGTTGAGAACCACTGCTACTGTGGTATGGTTTTAATGAATACCAAATCGGTCTGCTTACTAATCTTCTGTCTTGTCACTAAGAACCCATCTTCATCATCATAGCTGTTTCATAGCAACGTTGGGTGATGTAAACAAACAATGAGCTCCTTTGTTCTGCAGGGTAAATAGAGCAGACTAGAGAATCAAACAGCATTGTTCATCCTCAAACCTAGCAACATCCTGGTTCTTTGGAAAAGAGTACCTGGAACAAGACAGGAGCTGCCTCAGCTGTAGCCTCACTTGCTCCTTTGGAAGGGTGTGTTGGACTAAATTTTCACACACACACACCCTTCAGTACATTTAGTATCTCTATCTCCTATGTAGCTGAAAATACCCTGGAGCTTCTGACCTTCGTGAGTGCTGGGATAGGGGACGTGTTGTGTGGTGCTGGGGATCCACCTGGAGCGTCATTCGTGCCGAGCAAGTGCTCTGCCAGCACTCCACTGAGCTTTCTCTTTTCTGTTGAGACTGCTCTCATCATGTAGCCCAGGCTGGCCTTGAATTTGCCAGCAGTCCTGCCTCTGCCTCCAGGTGTTGTCACCACACCTTGCTTTCCATTTCTTTAAAAGTCTTTACAAATGAAGGTAGTTGACACTGGGGCAAGTGTTTTCAGGTGCAGTGTTCAAAGTGGCCTTCCTGAAACTAGACAGGGAGATCTCAGTTTACAAAGGGAGAGAAATAGAAATGGGAGTCAAGTGACTTCAGTCCAGAGTTATGCTTTTGGGTTTTTGAGACAGGGTTTCTCTGTGTAGGTTTGGAGCCTGTCCTGGAACTCACTCAGTAGACCAGGCTGGCCTTGAACTCACAGAGATCAGCCTGCCTCTTCCTATTGAGTGTTGGGATTAAAGGCATGCCACCACCACCTGGCCAGAGTTACCTTGTTAATGGGTGTAGTTTAGGAACGTTCTCAGTAAAGAATTAAAGGTACTCAAATTAACATTTCAACCCAGCCCCGCCTCACCACTTCCTTAAGACTGGATTTTCTATTTGGTCAGATTTGGCATGGGACTTGGAAACTTCCACAGTTTGAAGGGAGGGAACTGAAATTTACTTCAGCTTTTCAGGCCTTTCCCCTTTTTTTTGTTCTTAAGCCTGCGGGTTTCAACTCATTAGTAGGACATGACAAGAATGACACCTGTAAAGATGCCACTGGCAAACTTAGTCAAACATCAGTAGTGTTTTTTTTTTTTTTTTCTTCTGCCTGTGGCTTCACCTGAGAATAAGGACTGCACTTCTGTTCCCATGTGCGCGCACTTCTGTGCATATGTGCGCGCACACATGTGTCTGTTTTGTTGACAGCTATGCATCATAATCTCTCAATGCCAAGGGTTATTCCAAGCTGGAGGATCTGTGGTACAGTACAATAGAGAGCTCATCTGGAATGCCTGCTGGTAAAATGCCTACTGAGACATGAAGCCTGGGACCACTGTTTTCATCCTTGGGAGCCTGGTGCTGATGTTCCACCTGCCTTTGGTGTTGATGACACCTGAAACACTGGCCATCCCCAAGAAGCTACAACAAGCTGTGGGGAGAGTCATTGTCAATGCCACAACATGTACTGTAACATGTGGCCTTGGCTACAAGGAAGAGACCGTCTGTGAGGTGGGTCCTGATGGAGTGAGGAGGAAGTGCAGGTCCCAGCGTTTGGAGTGTCTGACCAACTGGATCTGTGGGATGCTCCATTTCACCATTGTCCATGGGGAAGAGTTTGAGCTGAGCTGTCTCAGCTCAGACATCCTAGAGGTGGGGCAAGAAGCTTTCCGCTTTACCTGGAAGCTTGCTCGGGGCATCATCTCTACTAATGATGAAGTTTTTAAACCCTTCCGAGCCAACTCTCACTTTCTGCGATTTAAACCCGCCTATGAGTATGACTCTGGGACATACCGATGTGATGTGCAGCTGCTGAAAAACCTGAAATTTGTCAAGAGGCTCTATTTTGGATTGAGGGTCCTTCCTCCAAATTTGGTAAACCTGAATTTCCATCAGTCCCTCACTGAGGACCAGAAGTTAGTAGATGAGGGCTGGGAAATTAATCTAGACAACCATTCCAAGCCTTACCTCCCAAAGTGGCAAAAGAAGGTGGCATCAGCCTTGGGCATAGGGATTGCTGTTGGAGTGGTCTCTGGCGTGCTGGTGAGCATTGCTGTCCGAAGTGTGCTGAGGATGATTGACAGCAACAGCAACCTTAGCAGCTGATGATACAACCCTTGCACCTGGGGGTCTGGCTGCCCAGAAAGCCAGGCTAGCTTATACGGGAGCATCCTGTCCCTCTGATAGTGACATGCCAAGAAAGTGTTCCTAGAGCCAAAGGTTGCTTAGGAGGCTTGGAGGATGCGACCTCGTCCTCATACTGCTGTTCAGAGCAGCAGTATCCATCATTGTCTTAAGGTTTTCTCATACTGGATGCTCAGGAAACCCACTCACTACTGGCCTTGCTTCTGTCCCGAGGGCAGTTGTGTCTTCCAAGCTTGCTTTTTTCTTTCTGTGCTTTACGGCACATTCCACTTCTCCAAACAGTGTGTATGGACCAGAATGTACTACTGGCTGTTTGGGCAGAAGCTTTTTTTATTTTTGTTCAATAAAGAGAATTTACAGTAAATGTATAGCAACTTAACTCTTTTGTTATTTTATGTGAAGTTTCTCACAGGTAGAAACTGTGCCATAGTTGGCCTGGTTCTCATTTTCCTTGGGTTTCCTAGAACATGCCTTGGACAAGATTGCTTTGTATGGGCTGTATGCCTGTATGTTGTAAAGGTGAACAATGGCACTGAGTCGGTTGATAGACCATGTGAATACGTTCTCTGCCCTCCCTGTCCTCCCTAGATGACCCTCTGAACTCAGTATCAGATTGAATTTCCTGGCAAAACAGAGGCTCCTGGTCATTGCAAACAGTCCTTTGTCTTGCTCCTTCTTTTGGCACTATCTGTAGCTGGGGTTCGTGTTTTGGAAAGGTCAAATGTGCTGGTTTCGTACAGCCACTGAGGTCCCCAAGGGAGGACTGTTGTCTTCATTTCCCCTATGGACATCCAGTCTTAAGGCCCTCGAAGGTCATTCAGACAGAGTCTGAGGTAATTGACTTATGGAATCCTTGGGGAAAGGCTCTTGGGTGCCAACTGAGAGTGGGATAGCATTTGTCTTCACCTTTCTCTAACTGCAGGAGTGACAGTCCCGAGGCCACACTCCTTCTGTGCCTGTGCCAGAGTCACCCGGATGGCTCTGAACACTAAACACTCCTGAGCCCCAACCCTGGGACACTGATTCAGTTCAAATTATGACCAAAGGATGACTAGTGTTTCCTTCTTACTCTTCCAAGTCTAGTACCTGCCTTAGGTACATTTCTGTTGCCGGGACAAAACACTAAGGAAAAGGCAACTTACAGAAAAAGTTTATTTGGGGTTTTCCGTTCATGGGGACAGAGTCCATGATGGCAGAGGTAGCTGATGCAGGGGGCTGAGGCAGCAGCTGAGAGCTCGAATGTCAAGCCTCAAGCAGGAGGCAGAGAGAGAGAAACCTCAAAGCCGTACCCACCAACTAGAAACCAAGTACTGAAATGCTGGAGACTTGTCGGGGACGTCTCATTCAAACGGCCACACCACCCATTGACTTTTTGCTCAGATTCATCAGTTGTTAACTTTTTCTTATAGTTTGTAGAATCATTTTTTTTAATGTATTGACCTGGGAAGGTGGAGAGACTGACAAAAGACTAAAAGTCTGTGTGGACCCCCTGTCATGCTGAAAAGGCCCTGGTCAGAGGCTAAACGTTTCATGGAGGGGTCCTCATTCACCTTCCTTTCCTTCCTCAAAAAACCTGGGACACTGCATCATAGCATGGTGTCCTCTACTCACTTGACACTGGAAATCAGACCAGCACTGCCTGAGTGTATCCCTGTGAGTGCTCACCTGTAATGCAGTCTGAGGTTCATCATGTGAGTGTCAAGCCTTAAAACTAGGAGTTCCCCTCTTTGGGCCACCCTGATTGAACAACAGAAACAACCCCTTACCGGTTGGGGTCATTAATCCCTTCATGGAGGGAACCTTCCTTTGGGACAAGAGAGTCAACACTTGAAATGTTTTGAAATCAGGGGACCTGGAAGTGGCTCTGCCCGCTCCCCCCCCCTTACCCCCATGTTGACCAGCATTAGGTAAAACCTGCTCAGGTTAGCTGAATGCCAGTCATGCTCTGCTGCTGCCTGCAAGCCTCCTGGCCTGTGTTTTCCCTCAGCTGTATGGTGTGCAGCTTCCTCAGAGTGAAAGGTGGATGTACTGGTTGCAGAACAAGCCCAGGAAGCACACTTCAGTGAGGTGAGAAGGACCCAGCTGCCTGGGCAGGTTGAAAAAAACATCTTTATTAAGAACTGCTTGCTATCAGAATCAATAAATAACTATTACAAGAGTGGGGTGGGTAGGTGGGGCTGCATTTGAACAGGAACTGTCATCAGTGGTCCAATGGAGCCCTGAGATCAGAGCTGCACAGGCTCTGACATGGAGGCTAAGTTGGAGGTGTCAGGTGCCAAGGCAGGTTGAGTCTCATCTCCTCTAAAGAAACTATGGGCTGTGAGTCTCTGCGGCAACCTGCACTCTGGACAAAGCTGTCTGACCCATTTTGTTCCCTCTCCAGTTTTTCTTTAATGCCCTGCTTTCCCAAAGCCTATGACCATATGTACAGGTTCAAGAGGTACAACCCCATCCCCAGCTACCAGCACTGTTTCCTGTGAGCTTCTTGAGGTCCTTTAGGGTCCCTCTAAATTCCACCTGGAGATTCCCCTCACCAAGTTTGGTCTCAGCTAGCAAGACAGAACACCACACTTGAACCAGTAATAGGAATGAGGACACTGCTCTCCCCCTGGCATGCAGGAGCCCTGATGGCTATTTGACACTAGGAAAAGAAAAGGTGCCTGGGTTGCTGGGAAAGGCATGAAGGGAGTAAAGCCTCACTAGCCACACTGAGCTCTTGGCCAGAGCACAGGCGAGAATGGCTTTTGGGGACTGCAGAGAGGCAATGCCCCCTGGGGAAGGCACTAGTGTGTAAGGACTGCTCTGTGGTGGACCATTCCCTTTGATGGCTTTTTTAAGCTGTAGGGACCATAGCAGATGGCACCTCTAAGGCTTTCCTGTGTTAGGCATTTTGATTCTTAATATCTGAGCTCCAGAAGGACTCAGCACCTCCCACCCTCCAATCAGGATTTCTCCCATCCAAGATCCCGCAAGAACACTCAAAGTTCTTCAAAGCTTACTCAAAATGAAGCCCCTTCCTCATTCTTTTAAGACTTTTCTGACCTTGGCTTCATTCTGTCCTGTTCTTTGTCAAGCCTCTCATCCCCACCTCGTAGCCTCACTGCCCCCCCCCCATTGTTGGGCTCACCTGCTACCCTAGACAGCAAAACCACTCTCATCCACACCATCCGATGACAAGGAGATAGCTCAGTGGTGGCCTGAGTCCTTGTATGGACAGAACAGAGAGCATCTCCCAACCCAAGAGAGAGCAGGTAGCTCTGTCCCTAGCCCTTAGGTACATTTCTTGCCTGCTAAACCCAAGCAGAGTACTTGTTTGTGGCTGTCCCTTTGTGGTTTAGTGTGAATGGATGGAATCTCATGAAAGAAGTCATGACCATAGCAAGAGCAAGTCCACCAGTTTCCCCAGCCTATAAAAATCAGGAGGGCCCTTGTCCAGGAAGGGTCTCAGAGAAGCTATTTAATCTAGCCTTTTCCAAGCCAGTTAGGGCCCAAGTTTCCTCAGCAAGTCTTTTTCCATGTACAAGCTTACATGTTGGGGGGTCACCTGTGACTTTGTTACACCGTAGCTAACACTCCACCTGAAGCCCTAAGCTTCAAGCCCTCCAAAGAAATTCTACCTGCACAGGGCTAAAGTTTTCCTCTCCTGGGTCTTCCAGCAGCTTGCCTGCTTCTCATGGACCTTGATAGAAGAAAAGCTTAGGGGCTGCATCCCCCTTAGGAGCCTCCCATCTCCCTAGCTAGGTCCAGTGCCAAACCAGCTCACCTTAGACATCCACTTCTCTAGTGTCCCTCCTGTAGCCCAAGGCAGTGAGAAATAGGTAAATATTGGGAGGTTTCTTTCTGTTGCCCCTTTCTAGGATTAGGTGGGACTTTCCAGAGCTTGCCTGGAGCCAAATTTCAGCCAGCATGGGGTGGAGAAGGATCTAGACTAACTGTGGGGTCCCGGTGAGTGAGAATGAGCACATGGCTGAGCCCCTAGCACCCTTGTAGGTGAGGTGCCGGGATCAGGGGAAGAGTACTGGATCAGCTCCAGGAAAGCAGTCCCTAGCTAGGGGTAGGTTTGGGGTGGTAGGGAGGAGTGCAAGTGTACATCTTTAAAAAATTGTAGTGGGTAATTACTAACATAAACCTGCCCAGGAAAACAGAGCAGAGCTTAAAGTTTAAAAAACCATAACAAAATAGAGCTCTAACTGTAAACTACAGAAATGGGCCCTGGAGTTGCAGGGCCAGTGCCTCTTGAGGCTCTTGCTCTGCTGCTCCTGTGGGCCTAGGGTGTAGACACTGGGGTTTCCTGGTCGTGCTGCCACAGGGTCCCGGTCTCAGGAACTCTGTCCTTGCTTTGGCCTCTCTTCTTGGAGCACAGATGAGGGCCTGAGAGGCTTCCAACCAGTGCCACTTGCTGAGTTCCCAGCAGAAGCCTGTCTCAGATGGCTGATGACTCCTGGAATCTGCCTGGACTGGGCATCCATACTGATCTTCTCACCAGCAGGAACCTTCCGAGCAGAGGACTCATCCTTCAGAGGCATCAGCCACCTTAGTGACCAGGCTGTGGCTGCTCAGCGCCACGCCTCCTTTCTCAACACCTCCCACCGGCAGGCAGGAGACTCTGGTGCTTGGCCAAGCCATGTGACCTGAGGAAGTCCCTAACCCTCTCTGGACCAACATTTCCTCGTCTGTTAAGTGCAGGCAGGGTATGGGTCAGCCAGGCTATAAGGCCTCCTCAGGTCTGGTAGTCTGGCCTGTCACTGGTAATGTACCCCGAACTCAAGGTAGGCTGCCCCCTTTATTAGCCCCGTTTTCTTCTGGGGAATCAGAGTAGTCAAGGCAGTTTGGGGGAGCAGATGTGGCCAGGTGGTGGAGAGTACTCCTGGAAGCAGGCAGGGCCACATTGATGCTGGCCCTTCTCAGAGGCCTTTTCATCCCAGGACAAAGAATAGATTTTGTGTTGAGGGTTTGTTTCCAGGGCCTGCAATTATGGGAGGTGGAGGCAGGCATAGATCTGCAGCAGAGCTGAAGGGAAGAGAGTGGCATTCAGCTGGACATCTCCTGCCCACACCCTGGAGGGGCCAAGAAAGAGGCATCTCGATGGGGCAAGGCAACTCCTCGAGACAAGCCCTTTAGTCACCTAGCAACCTGGAGTGGCTCTGTCACTATGTCATTCAGTCTCGAGTGTGACAGGATTGGGTTGGCAGTGCTGGCTGAGAGGGCAGTGCCACCTGCATGGTGCATGGCCTTGGGCCCAGGCAGGTGCCCTTTCTGTCAGGGGCTGTAGCCTCTCAACCCCTTTGAGCTCCTCTCCCCAGTAGCCTGGGGCCCTTGGGTACCAAGCAGGAAGGACTGCCGGGGAGCCATGGAAGACCATGCCAGGACCAGCGGCGCTGCTTGTCCAGCGAGGACTAGAAGAGCTCCCTCTGCTTCACAGAGGGCAAATGATATCCCAGGTTTTCAGCCCACTGTTGCCTGTGTTCCTGCTGGGCCCGGGACTCTGATCTCAGATGGCAATGCCCACGTGTGGCCCCAGATCTGCTTGATCTGAAAATGTATATTAAATGCTTTCTGTCCAAAGGCCTGTTCCTTCTGTCTAGGATCCAAGTGGTCCAGGCACTGGGCCTAGTGTTATCATGGAAGTCACTACCCAGTGCCTCCTGATTCAAAGAAAATTCCCTTGCATGGTTTCTATCTTGTGGCAGGCTAGAAATACCCTACCTCCTCCATAAAGGGTACTGTTGGGGGTAGGTATCTAAGCCAACCACTCTCAGGCACAGTGTTGGACCACCGTGGCATTGGAAGGGGGGTGTGGCCAGTGGCTGTGTCCGTTAGGGTGGGTGTCCAGCTTGGGTGTGGCAGGCAGTGATAAGATCAGAGCTTCTGGCAGCCAATGAGCGTCAGTATCACCACACAGGAGAACATGGGGCCAGGATGGGTGGGACGGACTGCTGCATTCTCCACCATCATGCTTGTGCCTGAAACCAGCAGTGAAAATTGTGGGGGTGGAGCCTCCCTGAATTGTACTAGGACACAGAGCTCTTGAGGGCACAAAGAGGTAAAGAGCTGACACCAGTGGTGTCCCTGGCCTTACTCATGCAGCACTGGCTAAGGCCTTTGCTCTTAGTCTCCGGCCCCTTGCATTTCATAAAAGAGGTACAGTCCCTTCCGTGCCTTGGGGTGGTTCTAGGGTGGGGAAGGGACAATGACATGACCGCTAGTCATTCTTGTCTGTCTTTTCCTTTCTCCTTGGGGTGGGGTGGGGGATCTAGGTTAGAGCTGGCTCCTGAGGACAATCCTTTCACCAGTAGCTGGGGGACCAATATGGCTGAGGGGCAGAGAGGGGGAGGGGAGGGGCAGTACCTCCATTTCTTACGATGTGGACTTCTGCTGGGATCCCATCCCCTCCCGGCCCTGTAGTTCGAATCTGTACCAGGGCGTGGCCAATGTCTTCAGGCACTGGGATTTCTATCCAGTTCTTGCTGGTGAGGTGGAGAGTAGGAGTTGGATGTAAGTCATTCTGATACAGCATCTGTAGGATAGAAGTTCCCAGGTACAGCTTCCTGGACCACAAAACCTTGAGGTTTTGTCTTTTTGCATCCTTCAGCTTCCCATTGGCCAGGCTTCTCATTGGTGGGAGGCAAGTGTGCAAGCAGCTAAACTCTCTTGTCAGACTCCCAGCCCATCACTGCCCCGCCCTTTCTGCAGCTGTACCATGCTCCTGCTTTGATAGTCTCTACCCAGAGCACCTGTGCTTCATATCTCTCCAAAAGCCACATTCCTGTTTCTCAGATCTTCTTGCTTGGAATTGCAACTCTTTGTGACCACTGGAAAGATGGGAGCAGTTCCTCCTGATGGCCGCCCTGTGTGCCCCTTTCTCACCTTGTAGCCTGTGACTGTGGATTCATTTTGGAGAGGTACCACGGGGTCCCACTTAAGGTTGAGACTGGAGCTTGAGAAAGTCCAGGAGATGTTGCCAGGAGGTCTCCGTGGTGCTGCCAGGGGAGGAAGGATGAGAAGACACTGTTGTATGCTTCCATGGCCACCTCTTACCACTAGCCAGCCCCGTTTCTGATGCCTGCCCATATAGAAGGAATTCTCAGAACCATCTGTCACCATGAAAATCCAGGAGTTGAAGAAGGGAAAGAGGCCTCAGAAGCCATGACTCTACTTCTGTATTTCAGTAGGTCCTCTGAACTGCTTCTGCCTGGTGCAGACCGTGTGGCAGCAATAAGTGTTTTACTGAATAAACAAAGGCCCTACAAGTCCCTACCCCATGGCACACGCCTTTCTTTAACCCTGGCAGACACTCACGGGGCTTCATGGTCATGGCATCGGCTGAAGGGCTGGCTGGTCCAGTGCCGGCCCGGTTGTAGGCCCTGACAGTTACATGGTACTTTGTGTTGGGGTACAAGCCAGTGACTCGGGCACTGGTGTCTAGCCCTGCGGTCCTCACTCGATCTGCAGCTGCCTCATTGTCTCCGGCTTTCCAGTATCGAATCTAAAAGGGGCAGGGTATACTAAAGTGTTTGGCAAAGCTTTTGGCTACCCAGTCCGCATGCCCCTTTCCCACCCAGGCTGGTGCTGTGGTAGACTCTAGTTTGATAACCTACACTCTGGGTCAGGAGACCCAGCAAGCAGGGTCACATGAGCGCCCCCATCTGTGGGTACTCAACACAGTGTCTAGTCCAAGGGAGGTGTCAACATACGGGGTGAAAGAGGAAGTGGGTAGCCAGTGGAGAACTGGTCTTCTTGGTGAGGAATTAGTGATCCCAAGAGGAATGACGACGAGTAAGCCAGCAGATGCTCCCACCTACCTACCTGCCCAACCTTGCCTCTTGGCAGCTCCAGTTGGTGCTTACCTCGTATCCCAGGAGAATGCCATTCGTGTCTTGTTGCACAGACTCCCAGCTCACATTCAGCTCTGAAGATGAGGACCCCTTGGCCCAGACCTTGGTAGGGGCCACCCTGGGTTCTGGGGACCAATAAAGAATGGGCATACATTCCCGAGACACCTCTGTGCCTCACAGAGTGGCTCTGACTAGGACTGTATCTGCTTAGGATTTGGGGGATCCCAGGTCCCAAGATGAAGCCCAGTGCTCAGGATGAAGCCCAGGGGCCTCCAGGCATACCCTAGGCTTGCTTCTCCTCCCGTAGGGCATCCCTTCTCCTTCCCTGTGCCAGGCAGTCAAGGTGGGCCAGGCACCAGGCCCAACAGCCCACCTTCCTCTGCTGAGTACACTAGTGCAGTGAGGCTCTCGGGCCCATCCCCCCGGCGATTGTAGCTTCGGATCTTGACCTCAAAGGGTGTGTAGGGATGGATGCTGTCGTTGCTGTAGACGAAGTACTGGGCATCAGCACCAGGCACCCGGGCAGTCTGCCAAACGGAGCTGCCTTGCCTGCGGAAGGACAGCAGGTAGCCGAAGCCATCTCCATTCTGGTACTCCCGTGACATGGGCTGGAGACAAGAGCATAGTATGGGCCAGGGCTCATGGGTCCATGTGGCTCCCATCCATCTGGCTCCACCCAGTCTTCACCCAGAGGAGGGGCCCTGGCATGCTTGTGCCCTCTCAAGGGTTTAGTGAGAGGATATAGGTGCATGGGGAAAAGGGAGGGAGGGAAGCCGGCAGCTTCCAAGTGAGACTTCAGTGGTCCTTTCTGCTTGTTGCCACTGTGTCTGGAGATAAACTAGGAAGGGAGGGAAACGGGCATGACTTCTGAGAGGCCAAGACACCTGCCTGCTTCTCTGTCCCTGCCCACTTACAGTCCAATTGATGATGAGCTCTCCGGGGGCTCCGCCCCCTCCACTGAGTCCTGATGGTGCCACCGAGGGGACTGTCAGAGCCAAGGAACACAGATGTGTCATGTTAGTGGGCAGTTATGGGGAAATCACCAGCCTGTGCCTAGAGAGTATCTGAGGCAGGACATCCTGATGTATCTTCCCATAGTCTTTCTAGGTATGGGTTCAGTCATGCCAGTCTAAGAACAATTCCCATTTTTGCTGCACTACCTTGGGCAAGCTACTTAACCTTTCTGGGCCCTGGTTCTCCTCTCCATAGGATGATGGCAATGTCTCTGTCAAGGTTGAAATGAGAAGAATTTAAACGAGAGGCCAATCACCATATAGTAGCTACCCTTGTATGTTGTCCTCATCCCTCTTGGCTTAGCTAGACCAGAGACCAACTCCAGCTTGCTTAAGTTTATGGGGATAAAGAACAATTCATGCAAACAACAAAACCCAACCAATTTTGTTAGGGGAAACTCCAAGGTATTTTATTGCTATTTTTTTTCTTTTCCTTTCTTTTCTTTCTTCCTTCCTTTCTTTCCTTCCCTGCCTTTCTTTCTCTCTCTCATTCTTTCTCTCTCCTTCCTTCCTTCCTTCCTTCTTTCCTTTCTTTTTTTGGTGACAGATTTAATCTCCCTGTCTTTAGTATTATACAAGACTGATAAGTCCAAGAACGGCTCCCATCAGCTCACAGAGGGTCCTGAGCATCTCCGAAGAGCACCCAGTGCTCAGAGGCTTTCACACTGTGATTATGTAGCTTTGCATTCGTTACTCTGAGGAGCGCATTCCAAGACAGAAAACCTGAGGTCCAGAGCAGTTAAGCAACTTGTCCAAGTTCACACAGCTAACGTACAACTCAGCTAGACTGTGATCTCCACTCTTATGATTTTAAAGATCATCACTGTCTCTTTGCATTGTGCTTGTATGCCCATCAGTTTTTGAGCTGCTAGAATCAAAGAGACAGACCCCTCTCACCCCATATTCCCAAGAAGTTCAGTCAGAGAGCATGCCCTCTGGAATTTCCTACTCTAGACAGATGCCTGATAAAAATGTTGAGTGATTCCAGAGCCTGGGGAGTCAGCCTGGAGCAGGTAGGAGAGCATGTTTAAGGGATACATGGAGGTGGACCCTCCACCATACATAAGCACAGGTCTGGCCAAATGGAAGGAGGGAGACAGGGCCGACCATGATGCTGTCACATGATCCCAGGTCCTCCCTTGGGAATAGTCAGAATGTAGCTGGTGACTCTGGGCAGATTAAGCCCATGTCTGTCTCCCTTCCTGGTTCTCTTCTCACACACTTGCCTGTTTGGGCTATGACACACATGCACTTTTACTGAGGGTCACAGACAGATTATTATCCCTTCCATTCCACAGATACCAGATAAAAAGGGCCTGGAGTCTGGCTGCTTCTCTAGACCCCCACATAGCACATGGGTATACACACAAGTGTATATGCTCACAGACTCCTTCCTTGTTAGCTGATTTCTGCAGTTTGTATACATTTAAAAACAGCTCAAGATTCTTGTCCTAGATTCGAGATCAGGCTCCCCCAGCATGACTTTTTTCCCCTTGTTCAAACCAGCTTTCCTGTTTAAACTCTAAGCTGAGACAATGACCACAGATCTGCCTGCCCGAGTGTCTTTCAGCAAGGGCTTTGGATCAGGCAGTTTGCCCACGCAGCAGCCTTGCCTCTTGACTTCCACATCAGAGCCCAGGACTGGGAAGCCAATTGGAACTTTGTTCCAGCTCCCACTAGGGCACCCTCTGCTGAGAAATGTCCTTTAGAACCCCAGACACTCACCTGCTTCCTTGGTCCGGATTCGGCTAGAGGGCCCGCTGGGCTCCCCAGTGCCCAAGATGTTGCTGGCTGAAACCCGAAACTCATAGTCCATCCAAGGCATGAGACCCAGCACCTGGGCAGTCTCAGCATTGCCCTCGATGTTCACAGGATCTGCAAGGTCCAAGGGGGTCAATGGCTAGCATCCATTTATTGCCAGGATGAGGGCAGGTACTGGGCTTGTGAGACCTTTGTATTCTGCCCTCATTGTGGTGCTACCATATGTTAAGCCTTCAATTACTCTTGATTGAAAAGCTACTAAGCTCCGATGCCTCAGGGCCTTTGCCAATGCTGTGTGCTCCTCACTCCACACATGTTGAGCATGCTGGCAATCTCCAGCAACAATCCTTTGAAGGCTTCAAAGGTACAGACCAAGTGCCTCCTCTAGTCCTCTCCTTACCTTCCTGCTGGCTATAATTGTGTCCCTGCCTGCCTAGGTGCTCCCTGGAGATAGAGAACACAATTTAATTCTCTTTCAAGCCCCATGCTCAGCCTTTGACTCTCTGATCCCTGTCTCCTGCTGTGCACACAGTGGGAGATTTATCAGTACTGATCCACGTGGGGCCTCACACTTACTGGTCCGAACCTGCTTCCACTTCCCGGAAGGTGGAGTTCGAGCTTGCAGCGTGTACTTGGCAATAGGGCTGTGATTGTCAAAGCCACGACTCCAGCTAACCTGGACAGTGGTGTCTCCAATGTCTCTCACCACCACACCCCCAGGGGGACCTGGAGGACCTGTACCAAGAAGCAGAGTACACTGGGTCAGAAGTAGACAGCTCCCAGTTTGAGCCCGTTTTCTCCAGACCCAGCTTGGACTGGCTCAATATCTAGATGGGGCATCACAGGGCAGGAAAGATTGGGTGGAAAGCCAGAGCACAGGGACAGAGGAGCATGGTGGGAAGTTTTGTGTCTCAGACTTGCAGGCTCACAGATGCTGTCCATAAGGGGATGCATAGATTTCCCAGCACCGAATTTGGAACTCTCGGGCTTAGCAGAGTCTTGAGACATTTAGGGAACATTTTCTTTCTCGAGTACAGCTTCCGAAGAAACATTCTACTCATTTAGGACCCACGAAGAACCACAGAGGAAGTAAATAGACGTGTCCATCTCTGTGACTTCTTTCAGCTTTCAGGGAGTGAAGGGAGGTGGGGAGGGTCAAACAGCCTAGAGCCTCTCAGGGAACTGGGGTAGCCGACTCCCATCACCTCGGACCAGGACTGTGGCCTCCTTGGATGCTCCATCCACCACTGTCTGGGCCATGCACATGTACTTCCCTCCATGGCGTAGCTGGGCATTCAGGATAGTCAGGTCCCCAATAGTTTCCTTCTGCGCACAGGGAACAGCAAGGTGTGATGAGTCAGGGGGAGGCCCTGACTAGAATAAACAGAACCTGAATTCTCTGGCTGCCTGGCATCTATGTCCTCTGTTTTCCTGTCTGTTCAATGGGAAGAATCACTACTTGGTATCACTGAACAACAAAGTGTGTCACATAAGACAGTCTGCATGGGCATTTGTATTGGGGAAGAGCGAGAGTAGCAGAGAGACCCTCCTGGGGCACTTAGAATGCTAACGCTTGATTCTAACTTAGAAGAACAGGCATTGGGTGGATTCAGAAAAGGTGGCTGTCAGTCCTAGGATGGGCTTGCTGGGCACTGCCTCAGGGGTTAGGGAGAACTTTGGAGGGCTTGAAGATGGTGATGGCTGAGGACACATCAGGTCCCCTGTCTTATCTGAAAAAAGGGAGAGTTACAAGACCCCTGGCCTTACCACACTGGCCCTCCGGTAGTGACCTCCAGGCTTATCGAAGTTAATGGGAAAGTCATCCAGGGTCCAGGTGAATGTGAGATCCATAGTGGGGTCATGGGAGGCATGGCACTGTAGTGTCAGGTTATCACCCACATTGATGTCAGCACTTGAAGGGGCTAGAGTGATCTTGGTTGCATCTACAAAGCAAAATAGCAACAACAAAAACAAAGCTCTTTGATGTAAAGGATGGAAAAGTCCCAGGCAGGGAGAGCCTCTGTCCTGTACCCCAAGAAGAAAATTCATGAGCAGCCAGATTCTGGAAGCTGGCCAGGGTTGGTCCCAAGAGAAAGGGAGTTCTGAGGTAGCCTTGGAAGCAGAAGTATATGGGACCAGTAGCAGATGGCTGTCAGAACAGCACCCCGGCAGCTGACCACAGGTCTGAGCAGAGCACAGTCCTTACCGCGCACAGACAGGATCCCAGTACTGTTAGCTTTGCCCATGAAATTCTCAGCAAAGCAGGTATATTTGCCTTCATCTGATCGGCTGATGTTTCTGATAATCAAGGTGCCATCTGAAGTTACCGTCACTCTGCAGCAAGGACACAAAAGATCTGGTCAACCCAGGGATAGATTCACTGTGGCCCATGGAAAGGGGATTGGCCTCCAAGAAGCCCTCTCAGTTGTGGCACACGGAACCTACCTGGTACTGTTCCCCAAAATCTCAGTGCCCTTGCTCCAAAGTATTGTAGCCTTTGGGGCTGCTCGAGGCTGGCAGGGGATGCTGATCTCTCCCCCTCGAGCTGCGGGGATCAGCCGTCTCACAGGGTTCTGCCTGAAGTCAGGGGCCAGGGCTGCAGGAAGGAGAGGAGTTACTACACACTCACCCTGTAATATCCACAGCTCCCCTCTGTTATTCTTTTGTTTAAAAAGAAGAAAAGAGAAATGCTGAGACATGAGACATAAGACTATAAGTTTATTATAAGGCCCGGCAGAATGGGGAGACTAAGAAGAGGAACAGGGGTAAATGGCTGACCGCCATGGCCGGTCGCCATAGAGAGACAGAGCGAGAGCATAGGTGGGAGACAGAGTAGAGCCGGGGAACAGAGAGCACAGAGAGCGGGAACAGAGAAAACAGAGAGCGTAAATGGGCAGGGGCCTATCTTTTAAAGGGGTCCTCTGTATCTGCGTGCAGACTTAGTTCCCATGGAACCTTGGGCTGACCAGGGTACTGCCTGTTCCACCAGGTAACAGGGGCAGGCCAGCATAATGCCTGAACCTTTCACCCTCCCCCATTAAGATGCCACCTGGCCACGTGCTAAGCACAGGAAGTGCCGCTGGAGACCAGCCTTCCAAGTGGCAGCATCGTCTCTAGAACTCGAGCCCACCCCTGCACCCTCACGTCATCTCTCTCTACTCTCTCCCTCACACACATGCTCCAGCCATCTATCTTGCTTTCAGTTTTTTCCCTTTTTCTTTTCTTTTTTTCTTCTTTCTTTCTTTCTTTTTTTTTTTTGTTTTTTGTTTTTTGTTTTTTGTTTTTTCGAGACAGGGTTTCTCTGTGTAGCTTTGGAGCACTTGCTCTGGAGACCAGGCTGGCCTCGAACTCACAGCGATCTGCCTGCCTCTGCCCTCCCGAGTGCTGGCATTAAAGGCGTGCGCCACCAACACCCGGCTTTCCCTTTTTCTTTTAAAGATTTATTTATGTTTACTTTATGTGTATGGCTGTTTGCCACATGTGTGCCTGTGCAGCACCTTCATGCAGTGCCTGAGGAGGCCAGAAGAGGGTATCCGATTCTCTGGAACTTGAATTACATACAGTTGTGAGCCACCATGTGGGTACTGGGAATGGAACCTGGGTCTTCGGCAAGAGCAACCAGTGTCCTGTGAGACATCTTTCCAACCCCACACCACCCACCCTTTGCTTTCCTTTTTAACCCTGTGAAATCACCAAGCTTTTTTTGCTTCAGAATCTTTGTGCTTGTGTAATATTACCTGCTAGTCCCTCAGATCTTTACAAGGCTGGCTCCTTCAGGTCACATCTAAATGTGACTTTCTCAGAGAGTCTTCCCTGACACCCCATCTAACTGGCTCACCTCAGTACCACTGCACTACTGGATTTTCTTATACTATGTTTTTAGCGTTATATGGAATGAATTTAGTGTATTTATTCCTCTCCCTCTATGGGATTGTACAGTGCTTGAAGGCAGAGAGGTGACCTTTTTGGTTCATTTCTCAGGAGATTTTTTTTTTTTTTTTTTTTTTTTTTTGTTTTTTGGGGAGGGGTTTTTTTTTGGTTTTTCGAGACAGGGTTTCTCTGTGTAGCTTTGGAGCCTGTCCTGGCACTCGCTCTGGAGACCAGGCTGGCCTCGAGCTCACAGAGATCTGCCTGCCTCTGCCTCCTGAGTGCTGGGATAAAAGGCATGCGCCACCAAAGCCCGGCCAGGAGATGTTGAATAAGTATTGGTTGAATAAATGAATGAAAGAAAGAATGAGTCTTGGGGCTGGAGAGATGGCTCAGTGGTTAAGAGTCCTCTCACAGAGGACCTGAGTTCAATTCCCAGTGCCCACATGATGGCAGACAACCATCTGTAACTTTAGTCCCATGAAAATCAACAGTTTTTTCCTGACTTCTATGGGTATGTGATACAAATACAATTTAAAAAAAAAAAGAGTGTGTCTTTGTTGAAGCTATTCAAACTTAATAAAGGATCTTCATGTCCATCTTACAGCAGAAAAAAAAAAAGAGTGATGGAATTAAAGGTGTGAGCCAACACCATCCAGCATGACGCGTTTCTTAAATCAGGAAACTGGAGCTTAGAATCAGGTGACCTGCCACAGGCCACAGAGCTGAAGGAGCTAGGTTAAATAAAGACCACTATTCACTGCAGTGAGCATGCTTTGTCTAGTCACATCCTTGGAGAACTCAGTCTAGTATCTTGAAACTGGTGCTAAGCAGGGATCATTGAAAAACCAAAGAAAACTCCCTCTCTCTCTGCCTCTCTCTCTCTCTCTCTCTCTCTCTCTCTCTCTCTCTCTCTGTCTGTCTCTCTGTCTGTGTGTGTGTGTGTGTGTGTGTGTGTGTGTGTGCGCGCGCGTGCAAGCATGGCTTTGGAGAAGCAAAAGCTCAGACCCACCGTGCCACAACCTGCATGTTCCAGGGTTGTTCCCTGCCTCCTAGGCCCTTTACCTTGCACAGCCAGCTCAGCACTGGCATAGATGGTACCATGCTTATTTTCTGCCACACACTGGTACATGCCAGAGTCCTCCAGGCTCAGCTTAGAGAATCGCAGGTCCCCAGCCAAGACCTCCACCCGGTTCTGTGCAAAAAAACCCGAGAGATCAGGACTGTTGAAGGACAGAAGGAGGTGAGAAGGGGAGAGGCTGTGCAGAGGCCCTAGGCCAATATCAGGATGGGGGTTCATGAGTGCAGGCCTACTTCAGGGCTGCTTGGTATCTTAGGCCTCCTGGAGGTCAGAACTCTGTGATACTGCATAGCTGACCCACCTGTGACCATGTGACTCTGGCATGAGAGGAAGCAACAGAACATCCCAAGACCTCCTGGTTTGCCCAGCAGAGTAAGAGGACCAGATAAGCAGGTCACGTGGGAGGGAGCCCTGGTTTCCTACCTGGGAGGCCAGAGGCTCCCCATTTCTCAGCCAGCGCACCATGGGCCGAGGCTTGCCTGCCGCTGCACAGGCCCAACGCAGGTTGGAGCCAATGTCCGCTTCTGTGTCTGAGATCACCTTGAGCCACTCGGGCTGAGCTGTGGGGAAGAGAGTAAAAAAACCTGGACTGGCTGGGAGGAGCCGTAGGCTCATTAAATAGGGAATTACAAGATTGTAGTATCTGTAAACGACAGTAGAGGGCGCTGTTGGTATTCTGGGATAGCGAGACAAAGAAGCGGGGGCAGATGAAAACTGGCACTCTGTGGTTGTGCCAGTGACGGCTTTAGCAACTAAGTCACTTGAAAGACGTTTGTTTTTTGTATGCCCCTGCTGAGCTCTGAGATGGCCTCTCCACCTATGCTCAGTAGTCCTGACAAGGGCCAGAAGGCTCAAGCAAGAGGCCTTCCGGTCTCCTGATTTTCATGCTGTTTCCTCAAGAAGGGAGGTGTCCCCAGCTCTGTACCCTGCACAACGATGCGTCCCTGGACGGTGTCCCGGCCCTTAGAATTCTCTGCCTCACATTCATAGGTGCCCTCATCTTCAAAGCTCACGCTGGGGATCTGCAGGGTGGGCTCTGCTGTGGCCCACTGAGGGGACAAAGAACCATCCACTTTGCGCCACTTGATCCTGGGAACAGGGCTGACAGGGGAGAAAGAGCCAGAGGGGGGTGAGCTGAGCTGGGCATGATCCTCATGTGTCCACAAACCCTATGCTCTCACTCACAGGCCCCTCCTGAAGTACTGGACAAGATGGAGGGGACTCTTGTTTGGGAGGGGACAGAGAGCAAGAGGGCACAAAGGAGACTAGGAATATATACACGGAAGAGACCAGAAGTCCTATCATAGGCCCCTGGCCCCAGCCACAGCTGTGAAGCCAGTGTAGCTGGTTTTCCATGTGGTCTGTACTCTGAAGCCAGCTTGCCCGCTCACCACAGCGGACAACAGTGACCTATGACCCGGGTCTTTACAGGTCCCCTTTCACATCACCCCACTTTCCCAAGGTACTTTAGTTATCAGTAATTTGTATAATAAAATGGGCTAGGGAAACACTGACTTTAGCGGGGGGTCAACATATTACCCTGCCAAATGCTCTGTATACATGTTTTCTGGAGGCCCAATACCTTCCCACACAGCAGTGCCCAAGGAGGCCTGCTCTGATGGACTCTCCTGGGAGAGCAAGAAGGAGGCTTTCTGTTGTAATTTTTAAAGGATCAATGTAACATTCGTGCAGCACTTGGTAAATGCCAAGCATCATTCTCAGGGCCGGGTACCCATTAACTCATCTGATCTTTGCAACAATCTTACAATGCAGGCACTGTTACCATGACCACCTACCGGTCAGGGAGCCCAGCCAGAGGTCTCCGAGCCCGCAAGTGGTAAAGCTGGGCTTTGAACCAGCAGGATGGGGTCTACACACTGTGCTTCCTGCCTCTAACCCTGCATGCTCCTCAAGCTGCCTAGGGCTACATTTAGTGTTGGTAGGGGCGTGGGGTGTGGGGGGGTGGAC